GCTCAAGACCGAGCGCGCGGGCACGAACGCGCGCGGCGCACGAGAAGCGATGGCGCCACCTCTCGGACAGGCGGCCCGCCGCCGCCGCCGTGCCCGGGCCGCGGGGCAACGCGTCACTGCCGTGGGTGGTCGCGCTCCACTCGGCCTTGAGATCGGCCCTGAGCTCTGAGATCACGGACGGCCGCAACTGCGCGGCCCCTCGGCTGCCTCAGGACACGACGCGGTGCACTGAGTTGAAGATCGACGACGCGGGCTGGTCGGCGATCGCGCCCCAGACACAGCGGCCCGCCACCGCGGCCAGCGCGGGCGGCGACGCGAAGCCCCGCCTGAGCAATCCAACGAGGGCCTGTCGCAGCCAGCACAGCCGCTCGATCGTGCGCCTGAAGGCGCACGAGTCGCCGTAGATGTCCAGGCCCGTGAACGCGACCCGCTGGGCCGCGGGAGCGACGTCCCCGACGGGGGGCCCCCTTGCCTCCCGCGCGGCGCAGATGGCCCGGCACGCCTCGGCGGCCACGTCGGCGTCCAAGGACGCGGCGGCGAAGTTGTCGACGTAGCCCGCGGCGACGACGTCGGCGCCCTCGCGGGGCGGGGGCGCCGCCCCGTCGACCAGCAGGGGCCCGGCCACGGCTCGGCGAGGGCGGAATGTCGAATGCTCAGGCCCGCGACCAGCCCATCGGCATGACGTTCGCGAGCCACTGCAGGTAGGCGTGGATCAAGAGCGGCACCTCGTCGAGCTGCTCGGAGCGAAGATGCCGACCCGGCGCCGCGAGCAGCGAAACAAATAAAAACGCGGCGGTATCTTCATTCGGATGAACGCGCGCTGAAGTCACCCTGGGCGACGAAACCATCGCCGCGGGTCTCGAGCGAAACCCGCGCCGACGGCGCCAACAATCTCGCGGAGGGCGCGCCGGGCGCCCGCGCGTCTAAGACGAGGCGCACATTGACACCGCTAGGCCTTCTCGACATAGAAGAAGCCAATACAGAAGGCCGCATGTCGCGCGGGGCCTTTCCTCTCCAGCGCGCCAACCTGGCGCGGGCGCAGCCGAAAATCAGACAGCGCATTCCCGATGCCGAAATCGGAAGCGAAGATCCACGCGGGGGTCGCCGAGCCCCGACCCCTTCTCCTCAGTGCTGCCAGCTCGGCAGGGTAACGCAGCGCACGGAGCCCCCTCCAAATCAGCGCGCGACGGTCGGCGTCCGCGGCGAGGTCGGTTGCCGGAACAGGCGCCGCGCGCTGTGGCCAAAGGGCGAACTCCTCATTGGGTCGCGCCCGAGAACCATCGGAGTACCTGGGTGAAGATGCAAGCAACTCTATCAGGGCTGCCTCGCAGCTTTTCGGAGATTCGGAACATCGCGGAGGGATGTCAAAATCGCGAGACTGCTGCGCCAGGAACACTTCAGCACCACTGCGGGCACGCGGAAGCGGCGATCACATGTCTCACGGGTCGCACTGGCACATGTCGTCGAGAGCGCCGACGGCGTCGATGAACCACTCTCGCCAAGCAGCACCCTTAGCAAAATGAGCGCGGGCGGGGCCGCCCAACGACGAGGTGCCCGATCTGGGCTCAATATGAACAGGATGGAGAGGAAAAGTGTCTCGCTGTCAACCTGGACAAGCAACGATGGGGCACTGTGCCTGACTGGCGCCACTCGGGCGCGCCCCGCAGCCAGGCCTGAAGTCTTCGGGCGTCATGGCCCGCTCGCCGCGAGCCTTGCGACGCTCCTTGCTAATGGCGGCCTCGGCCTTTCATCTGGTCAGCCATGTACTCCAGCAAGCCCGGCGAGATGCACAGGTCGGCCCTGCAGACAGCCACGCAAAGGAAATTCGCCGGCCCAACGGGCCAGGGCGTGCTAAGATCTCCGGCACCTGGTTAACAGCATTTCTAGTTCGCGCGCGCGGGGCGGCGCCTGGGGGTCCCCGGGCGAAGGGTACCCCGGCAAGGTCCCGGCAAAACCCCGGCAAGGTCGGGTCAGAGATGCCGGAGTTCTGTTTCGGAGTCCAACAGGGCTCCAGATCGGTCCAAAGAGGGCCCCGAGAAGCTTTCTAGACGGTCCAAGAGAGGCCCGAGACGGCCAAAGATCGCCCGAAGACGCCCCAGATGGCCCCAAGACAGCCCAAGAGGCCTCCAAGACGCTCCAAGGGCCTTCCAAGAGGCCTCCGAAGAGGGCCCCAAGTTGCCAAAATCGTTGATTTTCATTTGTTTGTTCGATGTTTCTTTGCGTTCTGGCCTGTTCGCTTCCGGACGCTCCAAGAGGGCCCAAGAGGCCTTCAAGACTGCTCCAAGACGGCCCACGAGGCTCCCAAGACGGCCCCGGAGCGGCCCAAGAGCGCCCCCCAGACGGCCCAAGTGCTGCCCAAGGCGGACCAAGAGGCCCCAAGACGGGCCCAAGAGGGGCTCAAGAAGGGAACCGAGAACTGAAAAATCGAGCCCTCCGCCCCAGAAGGCGCCCAGGACCCCGAAAGAGGCCCCAAGAGACTCTCCAAGACACCCCCAAGACGCCCCAATAAGCTCCCGTGAGGCCCCAAGAGGACCAACAACGTCAGGCCCCAGGCCCCAAGAGGACCAACAAATACCGCCAAGAGCCCGCCGAAAGCCCCCCAAGAGACCGTCACGAGAGCTCAGGAGGCCCCCTGGAGGCCTCCCGAGTTCTCCAAGAGGCCTAAAAGGAGGCGCCAAGAGGCCCCAAACGGCCCCACCGAGGCTCCAAGAGGCCACGAACGCGCAAGCAAACGCCTGCGATGGCACAGTACGGGCCGGCGGAATGAGCGAAACGATTAAATATCTGGTCTCGGGCGCAGACCCGCCGGCCGAAAAAACGCCGCCCTTGGCGCCCGCCTTTACCGATGGGGGCCGCCACGATGGTCGCGGAGGCGTGCGCCTCGTAGACCCGCCCCACCAACAGCTGGAGCTGACGGGCGACAACTTCGAACGCTGCATCTCGGCCAGCTGCAGCTGGTCGTAGCTGGTCGAGGGCGCAGCAGGCCTTTTCGTGGAACTCCGGGTACTCGTCATCGTCGGCTAGCATCATTGTAGTGAGCAACCTCTGATGCCAAGCATGTGCCCGCCATCTTCGACATGAAGGCCAGACACCAGAGGAGCGTCCTCAGCCATTTGGCAGGCCACCCGTGAACAGACGTCTCGGTCAGCGCGTTGACAGCCTTGCCGAACCTCGCTTTGGTCAGCATCTGGAAGATCCTGAAGTCGCCCCCTGGAGCCGCAGCAGCAGCCAGAGGCGCACCAAGAGGCCTCACAAGAGGGCCCGAAAGGCCAAACTCATACATTGTACGATGGTTCTGGAAGGATCTTGGCCTTGTCGCCTTCTCGGCCATCCGATGCTCCAAGACGGCCCAAGAGGCCCCCAAGAGCGCCCCAAGACGGGCCAAGAGGCTTCCAAGAGGGCCCCAAGAGGGCCCAAGAGGGCCCCGAGACGGCCCAAGAGGCGCCCAAGACGGCCCAAGAGGGGCCCCAAAGGGGGGACCACGAACCGAAAACTCGAGCCTTCCGCCCCAAGAGGGCCCCAGGAAGCCCCGAGAGGCCCCCAAGAGGCCGCCAAGAGGCCCCAAGATGCCGCGAAGAGGCCCCCAATAGGCCCCAGGAGACCCAAAAGAGGCCACAGAAGATCAAATATGCCTTCCAGGCGACCCCCAACCGCTTCTCAAAAGACCCCAAGAGGCCTCCCAAAAAAACATCTTGACGACGACCCTCTTTGGCCCCAAGAGCAACGCAAGATGGCAACGAGAGGCTTCCTCCTCCGCCCTTTCCCCGTCCTCCTTCTCCTCCTACTACTTATCTTCATCCTCCTCCTCTCCTTCTCATCCTCTCCTCCTCCTCCCCTCCCCTTCCCCATCCTCATCTTCCTCCTCCTCCTCGGCGGCGCCACACTGGCCCTGGGCCCACGGCGAAGCAGTAGCGATCATGCAACATGGGCCGGCGGAGTGAGCGAAGCGATTGAATCAAAAAGGACCGCGCGGATGGGAGCCAGCGCCCCCCCTGGCGCGCGGAGCGCTGGCGTGCGGAGCGCGCCAGGGGCGCCGACACAAGAGATTAGCGCGGTCCCCCGAGCGGTGATTGCCGATCCTCCCTCACTGGAAAGACGTCGAGCAGGAGGAGGACGAGGTCGGGAGATGAGGTAGAGAGCAAGAGCATCGGTGACACGCCGCCGTTGGGAGCCCAGCGGCGTGTCGCTCCATCGCCTCTATCATACAGACCTGGTGATTTGTCAGCCCCTCTGCTCCGGCGGCCCAGTTGGGTTCGTGACGCCGGCTCCCAGCGATCTGGACGCCTTCCCGAGGACCGGCTATCCATACCTGTGGCCGTGAGACGGTCCTGAGACCGGCAGACGGTCCTGGGACCCGGAGGCGATCACCAGAGGACGGAGAACAGCCCGTCGCGATGGTTCGCGTCGCCCAGATCTGAAGGACAGTGCAACGCAAGGATTACTACGCCGGCGTGTCGTCGCTATCGTCTTTTTTATCCCCTAGGCGCCGACAAGCAAAGCGGGCGGGAAGGCTCGGTGGCAACTCATGGGCGCCTCCCATGCTATCTTGCTGTCCCTTGCGAATCGACGCGACGCGAATCGACGTTGGCCGACTCTGCTCGACGCCAAGTCGACGCTAGTCGACTCTAATCGACGCTAACTGGGCGCTCTATCATCGAATACCAGACGCTACCGCACGCCATCGCACTCTAAAGGCGGAATTACGCGGACATGCAATCAACGCGTCCAGTAAGGATGCGCGATAAGTATACAAGGGCCTTGGAAGGCCATATCGACACTTTTCGAGCGGGGCGCTGCCAGCGAAAGTGACCAAGGATGGACCGCAGGGGAAGGATGCAAGGGTAGCCTTGGAAAGTCACTCATCCATACTACGCGCTTTGACTATTCAAGGCCCCCACGATCTGTTCGTAAAGGAAGGAGCCCTCACCGCGGCCCGCGCGGCGGTCACTGCAGCCGCAGCTCCGCCAATTTGCCCTGCGCGATGCTCAAAGCCCTCTCGCTCACGCCGGTCTCCTCGGCGAGGGCGATCGCGGCCTCCAGCAGCTGGTCGCTGTCGGGAGAGCAGAGGAGCGGCACAAGCAAAATCCTTCGGAGGTCCGCTCGGATTTCTTGGCTCGGCGCTGGGCTCGGGCATTGCGCCATGGGATGGCGATAGAGAAGGGGGGACAAAGAAACGTGCACCTTTCATACGCTGTCTGCGCCTCAGAGGGCCCCTTTAGGGCCCCTAGGTTGAACGAGAGCTGCACCTTTCTCGACCCCCTCGTTTATCGCCCCCCTACTGCGCAACGCCCGATGGCCCCTCCCGCGGAGAATACAAGCTGTCCAGCGCCGAACCGAGGAATCCGCGCAGGCCGCCGAAAGTGTATCCCTGCGCCGCGCCTTGCCCTCCGAGCTGTGCCCGCACATCGCCGTCACCAGGGACTCCTCGGCGTCGGCCCTCGC